CAGTAAAAATTTATTATCTTTCTGCATGTTATCTTTCTGTGATAATATGAATATTTAAATTTAAGAATGTAAGTTAATAAAAAGAAAGATAATTTCCTTATAGTTAAATTGCGAATGGTATCTTTTCTGGCATTACAGAGTTTAAACAAATTCAATCAAAGTTCTTAATCTACATAATCTTTAATCTTTCAACTTAAAAGTCACCACAAATTTGTCAGACATTTAAAATGCATGTATAGTGAGAAGTATGACTGATCAAACCACAAAAACCCGAACTATTCCATTAGGTTTTTCCTGTCCAAAGTCATGATATTTGTGACTCATGAGCATGAAAAAAAAAAAGTTCATTGAGTAGGTTTGGTTCCCAATGTTAATCACAGAAATGTAAGTGCCAAAGAAAATCTATACTAATAAAAGGGTAACATGCTAATTAGACAGGGAGACCTTCCAGACATTGGGACAAAAGCCATGGTGGTGGGGCCGAGACAAAGGCGGTTAGGCGTGATTAGGCTGGCAAGGGAGGGCAGTTGGCGGTGAGCAGGCCAGCAAGGAGGGGGAGTTGGGAAGAGCTGGATGGCAAAGAGGGGCAATTGGGGAAAAGCAGGGGGGCAGGGGGGAAGGCTTAATCAGGCTGGCAGGCAGAGTGGTTAGGGGTGATCAGGCAGGCAGGTGAGCAGTTAGGAGCCAGCGGTCCCAGATTTTGAGATGGATGTCCAACTGCCATTTTTGTCTGACTGTTGGTTTTGTCTGACTGCCGGTTTTGTCCGACCCCAGTGGGATTGGGCCTAAACAGGCAGTTGGATATCCCCCGAGGGGTCCCAGATTGGAGAGGGTGCAGGCCTGGGAGAGGGATACCTCCTCCATGCTCAGATTTAGTGCACCAGGCCACTAGCATAATATAACTGAGAAGGAATATGACACATCTTAACCTGAGTCTGGTTGCATGAGCTACAGTGAGTGCCTGTTAAGTGAGGAAGGCACCCAAACCTCACCTTCTGCTGGAGATGCAGGGTACTGCAGCTGAGGTTACATAGACATGGGTTAGAATTTCAGAACCACCTTCCACAGTGAGAAACATTTTAAAGACCTTTTGCTTAGCCTCTTTGAACCTCAGTTTCTGAATGTGAAAGAAGTACGAAAATACCAACTAATTACTTATATGTCTGACATTATATCTATGCCTGGCACTGTGCTTTCCCCTTTTCTTTCTTCCCAGTCACATGTATTTGGCTTCTTCTCCTAGTTTGATGACTACACAGATTGTTCAGATTTTCACTTGAGCCTTGTACGTCCACAGGTGCTAGAGATACCTTCAAAAATAAGCATTTCTTGTCCAGCCAGTGTGGCTCAGTGGTTGAGCATTGACCTATGAACCTGAAGGTCACGTCACAGCATTTGATTCCCAGTCAGGGCATATGCTCGGGTTATAGGCTCGATCCCCAGTGTGGGGTGTACAAGAGGCAGCCAATCAATGATCCTTTCACATCCCTCTCCCTTCCTGTCTGAAATAAACTCAATAAAAATATTTTTTTAAATAAGCATTTATTTTTGTTCTAACATTAATATGTGAGTGAGAATTCTTTTTGGATCTTTGATCATTCTTAGTAAACTGAACAATAGCATCTTCTGATACATTTTACGTATAATTCTGCCCACGGCCTTTGCTGGGTGGATAAACAGCAGAACACAGAACTAGGCTCTGGAGAGTAACAAAAACAAGATAAACACTATTCCTGCCTTCAGGGAGCTTATAAACAAACTGGAGGCCCGGTGCATGAAATTCGTGCATGCGAGTGTGTGTCCCTCAGCCCAGCCTTCACCCTCTCCAATCTGGGACATCCCTCTCACAATCTAGGACTGCTGACTCCCAACTGCTTGCCTGCCTGCCTTCCTGATTGCCCCTAACTGCTTCTGCCTGCCAGCCTGATCACCCCCTAACTACTCCCCTGCCATCCTGATTGATGCCTAACTGCTCCCTGCCAGACTTTTTGCCCCAACTTCCCTCCTCTGCAGGCCCTGTCACCCCTAATTGTCCTCCCCTCCAGACTTGGTCACCCCTAACTGCCCTTCCCTGCAAGCCTGGTCCCCCCAAATGCTCTCCACTGCAGGCCTAGGTCTCCCTCAGCTGCCCTTCCCTGCAGGCCCAGTCACCTCCAACTTCCCTCCTCTGCTGCCCTGGTCACCTCACCCCTAACTGCCCTCCCCTGCAGGCTTGATCACCCTCAACTGTCCTTCCTTGCAGGTTTGGTCCCTCCCAACTGCCTTCCCCTGATGGCCATCTTGTGGCAGCCATCTTATGACCACATAGGGGCAGCCATGTTTGATCACATGGGAGCAGCCATCTTGTGTGTTGGAGTGATGGTCAATCTGCATATTACTCTTTTATTAGATAGGATAGAGGCCTGGTGCATGGGTGAGGGCCAGCTCGTTTGCCTTGAAAGATGTCCCATATCAAGGTGGGGGTTCCCTTGGGGTGTGGGGTGGCCTCGGCGAGGGGCCTGTGGTGGTTTGCAGGCCAGCCATGCACCCTGGCGACCCAAGCGGAGGCCCTGGTATCTGGGATTTATTTATCTTCTATAATTGAAACTTTGTAGCCTTGAGCAGAGTCAAGCCTCCTGCTTTCTCTGAGGCCACAGCCATTTTTTGTTGGGGTTTATTTATCGTCTATAATTGAAACTTTGAAGCCTTGAGTGGAGGCCTGGGCCCACCAGGAGAGGCAGAAAGTTTGGCTTCTTCCATTACTGTGGCAACCCAAGCCTCCTGCTCTCTCTGTGGCCATAGCCATCTTGGTTAATTTGTATACTCACTCCTAATTGGCTGGTGGGCATGGCTTGTGGGTGTAGTGGAGTGGTGTTAATTTGCATATTACTCTTTTATTAGATAGGATGGCAGAAATAAGTTGCATGGCAGACATCTATGACTATACCCCTATCTGATGGCAAGAATGCATAGATACAAAGCTGAGTCCATGGTAAAAATGGATGTAATGAAAATAAAGGATGGGTGGGAGCAGGTGGCCTCTTAGGCCCAGATGAGCCAGCCACTGGCTGAATTTTGTACTACACTGAGATTTCTTCAACAGTCTTAGGATTACTGTGATGCCATGCTTTTCAAAAAAATTTTTTCCCAAGTACAACCCAAACCTATTACATAAAGGAATGCTCTCCATAAAAGGATTTATAATATAGCTACTACATCTGTTGTGACTTACTAAGTACCCAGGGAGTACTCTCAGTCTATGTGGATGCAGTCTTTTTTTATTTTATTTTTTTAATGTATTTTATTGATTTTTTACAGAGAGGAAGGGAGAGAGATAGAGAGTTAGAAACATCGATGAGAGAGAGTCATCGATCAGCTGCCTCTTGCACACCCCCTACTGGGGATATGCCCGCAACCAAGGTACTTGCCCTTGACAGGAATCGAACCTGGGACCCTTCAGTTCCCAAGCCGACACTCTATCCATTGAGCCAAACCAGTTTCGGCATGGATGCAGTCTTAATAGAAGTTTATAGGCCACTCACAGAGAGTTTGGTTTAAGCCTTAGAGAACCATCCTGGGAGCAGCATCCCTAAGGAGGTGATTCCACTTTCCTCCCACAATGCTCTCTACTCTGTGGCCAAACTCATCTTCCAAAAATTCATGTATTTCCATTACTCAAAAATCAAACATCCTAACACATCACTTATAATGTTTCCAACTTATGTTTCTATCTTTCCTCATAGGTCTCCACTATCCTCCTAACACTCCACCATATTGGGCTGTTTGTTGGCTAGTTACCACACATACTTTAATTATTTATTATTTTTTTTACTTCAATATGGACATGTATTTGAGCATCTTTGCAGTTCTTGGAGGAGGTTTCCTTTCCCATATCCATCCTAATTCATATACCATCTCTTATCTAACATTTTCTTCAAACTCTGCCCTACTCCAAGTAGCAAACATCACAGTCCCATTTCCAAAATTTCAGCACAAAGAATAATGGTCAATGCATCAATAGAAAATGAATTGGAGTGACAGTTGTATCAATTGCTATAGCTTTCCAAGGAAAATGCCCAAAAAGATTTCTAAAATAAAGTATTACCAGTAATTCTGAAAATGGGCTTCTTCAAGGGGACTGATTACAAGTAGCCTTACAAAGTAGATACTTAGAGAATCATCATATTATCCAAATTATGCTCATAAAATTTTCAAATGGTTGCAATCACATTTCATTCCATTGCATGAGTATATGAGATGGATATACTGGAAAATTAGGAGAGTTATCTTGCAATGATAATAAAATACTCAAGTCCCCAAGAGTAAATCAGGCTAAAGTTAAACGGGAAAAGTAGGTCAATGCAGGTAAGAAAAAAAAAAAAAAAAAAAAAAAAGCCACACTTTTAAGAGCCAAGAAAAGTTCTATAAGATATTGGAGATCATCTTGAAATACAAGTTGCTGTGGCTTGTCAGTGGAAAGTTCCCATCAGGCTATGGATTTAAACTACATTGAGGATTTATTTAGATTATACTTAGGGGAAAAAACTCCCCAATATCAAAAGCTGTTAAATGATAGCAATTACAAAGTAAACGCAAGAGTCATGACAAAAGTATTAATCCATACATTAGAATTCTGAATGCAATTACGGCTACAAATGAATAATGGTCTCACCTGACAAACAGGGAGGAAATCCTTTTGCCACTGAGAGTGAAAACATTAGTCTAAGGTGTTTCAATAATAAGAAACCTGCTAATGACCTTGAATCCTTTTGGATATGAGCAATGCTATGTACCCAAGTTCCTGCTCTCTGGGAAAATGAAGACATATTTTTTAATATACCTCTCAAAATATTTTGTTCATCAAATTGTATTAATACTCTTGAAATGTCTACTTCACCAAGTTTTCTTTACATAAAGGGTGTCTAAATTTAAACATTATTATCAAATATTGATTTACTGATTAGCACTAAAGGGAAAAAAAGACAAGACACTTGCATCACAATTTAAAATGTGCAAGAAAATTAGTTAGGATAAATATTTATTTCCACATAACATTTCTTAGTTGTGAAAAACACAATGTCTTAGTCACATTTACACTTTACTTAAACTTTGCAATAAATTACATTCAAGATATTCACTAATTTTGACCAGGAATCTGAAATTAGGAAGAAATATATAACACTACACTTTTTCTTATATTTTATATAATTTCAAAATAGTAGGATTAACATAGGATATCATTAAAATTCACACAAGAACAAAATGACTATAAAAATACTCAGAAATACAGAATTTCATTGGATATGATTGCTTATTCAAATAGGTGACCATGTAAAGGTTTTAATTCACTACAATCATTTTTTAACAGAACAGTTAATCATATATGAAAATACTGGTAGGCTGCTTATGGGACTGTCTGGCATGTACTGCTAGTCTAAATCATAAAATAATGGGAATGTTTATAACGTAGTATCTGTATTACAAAATATACAAAGGCAACACATTGAGAATGGAAAGTTTCTGTATTTTTTCCTTGGCATTTATAAACACAGACTTTGTTCACTGTATATTCTTCTTATATTTTTTAGGCTTATGTTCCATAAAAGAAATGGCTCCTTAAAAGATTCTGAGGGGAAATTTTCAGAAGGCATCAAAATGTTGAACGTATGAAGGCCTTGTTATTGGTGGTTTTTTTTTACCCCTCATAAGCTTAATCACAAGAGCTTTTCCCCCTAATTTTTCATGTGCACTTATACACAGAATATGCAATGAATAGTCTGGAAAAGCGACAGGGCTCTGAATGATTATCAAATTGGACACTGAAGATCACTGATCCTTCTTAGGAAACAAGAGTATTATAAGATTTGGTCTTGTTAATTTCACATTCATCTAAAAACAAAAGAAATACTGTATTCTTAGTAGTGCTCAAAAATTCTCAACTTTTCTTCCTCTTATATAAGCTTAGTAAAGATGATTTTATATGAACTGAAATATCTACAGAAGCTTTCAAACAGAATCTGAAAATTTCTTTTAAAATATCATTTTTCTACAACATGCATTTAATTAAAAAGATGAAAGAGCTTTGTAGAAAAACAGAGACCTGTCAGTCTAACATTAGAACATGATTCAGAAGCAGCTTTAAGCAGTACATGACCTTTAGCAGCAGAGAACTGTACAGAAGTGGAATTTCATGTACAATGACTCACCATTGGTATTCCACGAGTTTGTATATAATAGGTTTATTTGGAAAATGTTCATTGTCAACGGGAGAGAAACTTAACAGCATATTCCCCATAAAGGTTGTTTTGAAAATCTCACAAAACTTAGAAAGTTTTTCTAAAGCATTTCGTACAAGCCTAGTATTTGATCATGTAATCACAACTTGAATTTTAAGCAAATACTACTTGACTCTTTGCATTAGTGTCTGATTCTTTTAAACAAGTTGTGAATAGGTTTCTACATTTTTTTTTTCAAATTTCAGTTTTAGTTACATAGAAATTCTTAACTATTAAATGTATCATATTAAATCAAGGAAGTGAATAAATTCAATTGTTAAAAAATGCTTTCCAACTAAATTTTTAATTTGGTTATTTTGAAATAAGTCACTGATACAAAATAAGAAGTAAGACTACCATTCAAAATTCTTCTGATTGAAATTACCAGGTATCCTCAGGTCACTACATTAGGAAAATACAAACTAGGTAAATATGACTTATCTCTTTAAGAATGCTATTGCTCTCATAAAACTGACAAGGAGAATCCATTGTTTACAAATGCCTAGCACACAGCAAGGAATGCAGGGGTTCTTCATTAGCTATTGCATATGCTCACAAGTGTGTCTCACTGCTCAGAAGTTTAAACACAAAAAGAAACAAGTATTGCACTACTTACAGTATGAAGGTAGATTTGGGATGAGAGACAGAATTTACAATACATGATCAAAGCAGTTTTATTAATAATTGTGGCACTCTTCTCATATATTTGTAAAAAATAAATTGAAGATCAAGTCATAGACAAGTCTCCCTGTCAACACCTTTCTGTGAGTCAGCTTTCTTCTCTTCTTGGTTTTCACTGCTACAGGGAGGGAAAGGAGAAATTTATTACTGAAATTCCGCATGGCTACTGTGAGATGTGCTTGCTCAGACACAAAACCCATCCACCCCGGAGTGCCACCAGGGCCGTTAGGCATTGCGCTTTCATGCTGGGAAGCACACATAGATAGATAGCAACAATTAAAACCCTCTGCACTCAGTGACATAGAAACCAAGAACTGCAGAAAAGGGGGAAATTCAAAACACAGAAACCAAAACCAGACATTTTAAAAACAGTTTCAAAAGCATGCAGGATTAATACCGTGGCTTTCATTTGGGAAAATGAATCAACAATGATTATTGAAAATGCCAGTTATGCCCCATCTTAAGAGAGCACTGACGTGACAAACGAGATGTCACAGGAGGAATTTCTGGACTCTGCTGCAAGCGGTCCATCCTCTGTGCATGCATGGCCTGGCTCCTGAATCTCAGTGAGAACCCTGTCCTGGTCCATAGGTCTGGAAGGAGGTGGCCACCCACACACTGCCCTCCGGACAGCCGTGCCGTCTCTTCACAGACCCTGACCATCCCAGGCACAATGCTTCTCCTCACTCAGTCCAGAATAAACTCATTCCCAAGTGGCTTCTAGTTTAGCTAGTCTGTAGTTAATTTCACTAATGGGCAAGCTGGTTAATGTGACTCTCCCATTTTGTCTTCCTGTTCTTCAATATTTTTCTGATGTACATTTTCCCTGCTCTCACATGGACAGTTTTTACGGAAACTTCTAACAATGTGCTCACATGCTCGAAGCTCACACCGAGAGTCTATGCTTCCCGAAGGGCAGGGAGCTCCCCCCACCACTTCCCTCTGTATCTGAGCCACTCTGCGACCCTCCCTGCTGCTGACATGGAGGGGCAACCCGCAGCTGGCCGGCCTCTGAGGCCTGAGCTGGAAAAACCCAGACATTATTACTGTTCATGTTAGCCCTTAATACGAGTTTATAAAATAGCTGCTGGTGGGGAAATCCTTGGTTTTAGTAACTCTTTTCCAAGTAATAAAGTGACAGTTAAACCCTTTATTCTATGGGGTCTTCTGGGCAGCTTTTACAATGGTCAGTAACTTAGATATTTTCTAAGAGTGTGTTTTTTAAATTGTTTTTCCTCCATTTCAAGCTATCATAGAAACAGCCATTCTCAGTTGTCACCACCACCCGGCACCATCAGGTAAGAAGTGCCGGAGCTTCTGCCATCGGTGGCAGGCTGCCAGTGCTGTGAGCGAGTGTCTATGGCACCGGGTTTGTGCCTGCCACACTTCTCAGCGCACACTACTTGCAGGTCAGAGCAAAGCAACTCTTTTCACTTTTCTCCTACCATGAGAAGGATGACAGTGTGCACATGATGTGTTGAGAGCCTTAACTCTGTATTTTTAACTCCTCCATCTAAATGACTCACTTTCTTCCACTTTAAGTTCCTTTCACATGACAAGTGCCTGCTACCCTACTTTCCAAATTAACTTTTCCTGGGGCTCTACCTGCCTGACTCCCAGTCTCTTCGGCCAAACAAAGCCAATGAAAAGGGGCAGCTGGGGTAGGGGAGGAAGCCCTGGGCTTGGAACAGAAAATTGCATTCCGTTCCTGGAAGCTGAGAATGAGCTGTATGACCTTGGCTAGTTATTTAACGTCCCTGGAACCTGTTTCCTAATCTGTAAATTGGTTTGACCTGGATGACAAAGTTCTCCTGTAGCTTGAATGCCAGGATCCTGAGGTTGGTATTCCTCCTGTGAACCCCTGTCTTTGAAAGACGTAAGGACAGGTCCTATCTGCGGGAGATTGCGGGGACAGAGACACACTGGCCTCCACATGAGCACGGTCTCTATGTGCACAGTGCCCTGCTCCATATGCTTTTGATAAATGAGCAAAAGCCTCGTGCACTGTTAGTCACCAAGAGTGGAAAAAAGAGACTCGGGATGTCGACTTGGTTCCAGACACACTTCCTCCTGATGTCCTACTTTGATCAGACTGGTTGTTCGGTTACAAAACAACCAATTATAATTGAGGTTTTTTTAAACTCTTTAAATCAGTGCTTTTTGTATAAGATTTCAGTACACTAGGAAGCAGAAGTTTTATAACCACCTCAAAATGTCTATAAAAAATAGAAAATTAAATTTTCTTACTGTATGGTTATTACTCTGTTCCTTGTTACACTGATTTTCTCATTACCAATCAATTATAAACTTTCATTGTAATGGATTGTATATATTTGTTAACTATATTATATATATGTCATATCTATTATGTACTATTATAATAAATATATATTACATATCTATAACACACATTGCATGTTTAATGTTGTGTGTGTGTGTATGTGTGTGTATCATGTTGTATAGTACTTTGAAAAGACCAATGGATAGAAAATGGATGAGACAGTGTCCGGTCCCTTGAGGAGTTACAATTTAAAATAAAAGAAGTAAAATTTCAAGAGAGAATACAACTTGACCCACTACATCCACGCTGCTAAGCAATCTTGAAACTGTTATTTTTCAACTAGAGGCCTGCTGCATGAAAATTCATGCACTGGAGGGGGGTGAAAAACATTACTTGACTTTACTATTTACTTTAAGGAGTGCCTAAAATATCATAAAAACTTTTGCTTGGCCCTGGCCAGGTAGCTCAGTCGGTTGGAGCGTCATTCTGTACACCAGGAGATTGCAGGTTCCATTCCTAGTCAGGGCACATACCTAGGTTTCAGGTTTGACCCATGATAGGGAAACATACAGGAGGCAACTAATCTATGTTTCGTCTTACATCAATGTTTCTCTCTCTTTCCCTTTCTCTCTCTCTAAAATTGGGTGAGGATTAAACACACACACACACACACACACACACACACACACACACACACTTTTGCTTGAACCAAAGAAAAACAGAGACAGAGTTTGTACTAATGGATTAGTGTATTACAGGAAGAAAAGCCATCTATAAGTTCAAGTGTCTCAAGTTACCCACATATCCCCATATCTGACATTTATTTTGAACCCATAAACTTTGAGTTCAATATTTTTATAAATCAAAGTAATGCCATATTTTTAATATTAAAGAGTCCACAGGCACATTATTTCAAGGGGTTTGAGAAATTACCCCTCTCATAACTCTGATTTTCTTCCAAGACTTCTGGCAAAATGGTGTTACTATGTGAATGACTCTATCAGGCCATAGCAGGGATCTTTGGGAAAGGACGATTAAGCACGTTTTAGAATAAAATATGACCTCTGCTTGAGCCAAGCAAAAAAATACATGAAAATTTTAAAGTCCAGTTAAAAGATAGAAAGCATCAACCAGATGCTTTGAGAGAGACTATTGAGTAATTTATATTAACCTCCTTTGGAGTAAGTGTTAGGTAGTTGAGGAGAGGGGGCGGAGCATGGAGGGGAAGAGAGAGCTAGAGACAGAGAGACAGAGAGACAGAGAATTCCCATCTTTCTGGGGAGAACTCTTACACATTTGTTTTTCTTATTTATGCTGTTGAGAACAGAGATGACACTGAAGCAGCATGCCATTTTGGGGTGACAAAAACCAGCAATAAGAGGTACTCCCTAAGTCTAATGTATAGTCTTTTTCTAGCCTATGTTTCCAAATATCTCTCATGAAGCCAGAGAAAGCTGGCAGGTTTGGAAGCATGGTGGTGCATAAATGGAAGCGCCCAGCTTTGTAATCTCTTAATGCAAGGGATACTTTTTCTTTTTTTCCAATATAAAAATTTGATATCATTACTAAATACAGTTCTATGATATTTGTTGATTTATATATGATGCATTTGTATAAATCATGTGGGGGAGAAGTTTACTCAAGTTTCAAACCCTTTTAAAGAGCTGAGTCGTCATAGGAATACCATAAACAGTCTGATACTGGATCTCAGCCCACAACTCTGCATGCCTTTTGCCTCCCCAAAACTCACAGAGAACATAGGCTGACCAGGTTTCTAGAAGACACCATTTAACATAAGGAAATACAATTAAGGAGTAAGCTTGAGGGAGAGGGTCTTACCTTTGGGGAATCAGCTTCTAGAGTGATTAGGAAGGGGAGCTTATGACAAAACGTAATATAAAAATTAAGTAGAAATAGTTAATTTAAGGTCATGAAAATAAAGGAACTTAATAATTAAACACGGTCCCAAATCCCTCAATCACTCTTTAATAAGATATATTAGCATAACAGAGATTTTTCTTTAGGTCAGCATCTAAGCAGGCTGATGGTTTGAATATTTTCTTTATAAATTCTGGAAAATTTAGTTGGAAATCCTATGATGACTCTTGATATTTAAGGACATACTCTTCCCCCAGCATGCATTTAAAACTATCATCCACAACTACAGGAGTTGTTTGTTATGCTTTTATACAGAGTAGAATGGATAGAACTTTCTGGAGCTGAAAGTTTGGGGGTAAGGGGGTTAGAGAACATTTTCAAGGGGTTGAGTAGAAGACTGGAAATATACAAAATCTCCATTTTATATTTCATATGAGTTTTAAAGAGGACATGGGGGAGTGCAAACTGTGGTCAGACATCAACAGGGTTCCTGGGTTGTGGGTGATAAGGGAATAGAATAAAATCTTACTGCAAAAGATTAGGCCAAAATGAATGTCCAAAGATGTCGTGCCTTGGGACCCATTTATAGCACCATTACTCCCCACTGTCATAGTTTTAGAGTGAACTTTTAATTTGAAAGGGAGATAAAAACAATACCAACTAATATGATAATTACAATTTCTACACACTTTTCAAAATAAATTTTCTGAAATACTTTAGATATAAATTTGATGAAATGATCTTATATTTTTGCTAATGGATTCATGTCAATAGCTGGGATCAGTATAAATCCACATTATACTAGAATTCAAACCTTTTAGAAGCAAAGCTTGACTCCTTTTCTTTTGAGTTATCGGCAGTAATCAGAAGGTTTCTCCACAAGGCAGTCTTTGACATTTCATCAGAAATGTTGATCACAGATGGATCATCTCTAGATAGTTTACCCAAAATGAAATGATAAACAATAAATAAGCAATTGAAGATATTTAGTGATAGAAACAAATGTAGGACAATCCTATGCCTTTATATAGATATAGTACTTTTGATAATTAAAAATTAAGAAGTATTGAATAGTTTTCTCAATTATTAAAACATTTATAAAAAAAACCCACATGAATCTAGACAATATTTTCAAGTTACATAGAAACTGGTTTTGGCAACAATTTTCTAAATTCATTTCAAATTAGAGAGATCAGGTGCTGCATGGTCACTGCTTAGCCTCTTCCCCTAATATCAGCAGACCCACTTCACTCTCTGCTTAGACTAGGGGTGTCGAACTCAATCAGAGAAGGGGCCAAAATCTAAAATCCAGCCTAAATCGCAGGCCGAATGGTTTACTGAACAGTCATAAACTGTCATTGTGATGGAAACACAGCAGAGTGCAGTGATGACAGCGCGGTGCGGGCCACATTGCAAGGCCTGGCGGGACGGATTTGGCCCGCGGGCCTTGTGTTTGACACATGTGGCTTAGACTCTACTGTGGCTCTCACTCACTCAGAGCAAAAGGCAAGTAGATGGACTGTAACACTCTGTTCCCACCCTCACCTCCCTTCTTCATCTCCTGCTCTTACTCCCCTGCTCCTTCCTCTCCAGCCATATGCAATGGCTTCCTGACTGTTCTGGATCACCATAAGGCTTGTTGCTGCCTAACAACCTTGTACCAGTTCTTCTTTCTGCCTTCAGTGTTCCTTCACATGGTACAAACTTTCCCTCCTTTGTTCAAATGCCACCTACCCAGACAGGCCTTTGCTGACTATTTAAAATTTCTATTTCTATCCCCTCAAAGCACTCCCATTCCTCTTTTTTCACTTTTTCTTTTTATTGTACTTTTCATTATCTGAAATAGTATGCTATTATATTTGTTGGTGTGTTTATTTTCAGACTCCCCCTCCCTCTAGTCTACTTGAGTATAAGCTTTATGGAGGATTCTTGAACACTCCTCTTCTCCAATAGAGCTTGGCACTTCATACTTACTCAACAAATACCCTATATAATAAAAGACTAATATGCTAAGTGTCTGGTCATCTGTTCAACCAATCAAAGCATAATATGTTAATGATATGTTAAGGCTGCTCAACTGCTTGTTAGGAGGTGCACTGACCACTAGGATGCAGATGCTTTAACTGATAGGTTAGCTTGCTGCTTGGGTCCAGCCGATCAGGACTGAGCAAGATGGCCAGACTTGCCCTAGAGCCCTCCCGCTGCCCCTCCTTGGCTGGCCAACCTCTCACATCCCTCCCTGGCCCAATCGGGCACCTGTGGGGTCCCTCGGCCTGGTCCCTCTTCCAATCCAGGACCCCTCAGATTGTCAGAGAGCCGGTTTCGACCTGTTCCCACAGGCCAGGCTGAGGGACCCTATTGGTGCACCAGACCTCTAGTCTGTTAAATAAATAGAGGTACCCTGTGTATTTGGCTGGGGTCTTTCCCAGTGGCTGGGGGAGCTTGTAATATGAGCAATTATACCAAGCTTGGTGCTTTTTTGTTTGCATTTTTAAATGGCACCAATTATAGGTGACATTCATAATGTTCCCGAACATTCCCAGGGCTAGAAACACAACCAAAGTGCAGCAGAGACAAATCATAGGCCCAGTCAAGGAAAGTTTCATTGATTGAGAAAATAGCACTCTTCTCACTACACATAAAAAAGATTCTCTGCTGTGAAAGAAAGAGCCGAAACCGGTTTGGCTCAATGGATAGAGCCTCGGCTTGGGGACTGAAAGGTCCTGGGTTTGATTCCGGTCAAGGGCATGTACCTTGGTTGCGGGCATATCCCCAGTAGGGGGTGTGCAAGAGGCAGCTGATCGATGACTCTTTCTCATCAATGTTTCTAGCTCTCTATCTCTCTCCCTTCCTTGCTGTACAAAATCAATAAAATATATTTTTTAAAAAAGAAAGAAAGAAAGAAAGGAAGGAAGGAAGGAAGGAAGGAAGGAAGGAAGGAAGGAAGGAAGGAAGGAAGGAAGGAAGGAAAGAAGGAAGAAAGAAAAAGGAAATCCTAGTCTGACCTCACGTGGCTTTTATTGGTAGTTTTCATAAGAGGGCAACAAATCCAAATTTCTGGAGAAACACTAAGGGTCTAGAACACCACCTTGGGTCTCATAGGCCCCTTTCCTTGCCTAATCTAGACATGTATTCATTAATTCCTCTAATTCGCTTAGCCTTTGGAAACTCCAAGCATAAAATCAAGTAATTCCCCAAAAAGTGTCATGTAGAATACAAGATTTTTAAGATAGGTGACAGTCTTGTGAGCAAATAGGTTTGGAAAATGCTGGATTAAACCATTGAACTTTTTTTTTAATGCAATACTATTTAGATTTCTGAATATGCCAATGTGCTTTGTGAATTTACAAACTGGAATAGGGTGTGGGACATTTTCCAAACTTACTGAACTACATAATCCTTTTGAAAGTGGTATCATATGAAACTAGATTTCTATAGAATACACTTGAGAATATGCTGATTCAACTAAATAATCAACAGGACTTTAAAACTTATTATGTTTAAAAAGATAAAGTACTTTCTATACTTTCTATGTTTAAGTGGTACATAATTATATATGTTTTAAATCTAAGAAATATGATTTTATAGTAAGACCCTGAAGATCTTGAGACTATTTTTTTTTTAACCCTATGACAAATTTCCTCCTCAGAGAAAAGCCTCTTCTGCTTTTTTACTGGCATTGCCTTATATTATTCTTAAGTACTTTGAGACTATATATAGAACTTTTTAGCCAGATACATTCAAAATTTTTATTGTAATTTATAAAAGTTTGTTTTCTTTTGCTATATCTTTGTGCATAAAGACAATTAGCGTATTTTAGAGAATTACATAAATATTTCCTAAAATGACTGGTAAAATTTCCCTTAACTTAAGACAGTGGTCGGCAAACTCATTAGTCAACAGAACCAAATATCAACAGTACAATGATTGAAATTTCTTTTGAGAGCCAAATTTTTTAAACTTAAACTTCTTCTAATGCCACTTCTTTAAAACAGACTCGTGCAGGCCGTGGTATTTTGTAGGTAGAGCCACACTCAAGGAGCCAAAGAGCCGCACGTGGCTCTCAAGTTGCAGTTTGGTGACCATGGACTTGGAAATAGATTACCTCTTTGGAAGTGCCTTTTAGGGATAATCTCACAGAGTTCAAATATTTAGCTGTGATCCATTTAGTGAATACCTAGCTTATTTATCCCAGAATTGAATCTTGAGCTGTCTTCAGGTGCTACTTTTAGAGGATACGAAAGAGGGTTTTCATATCCATTATAAAATATGAGAAGAAAAGACTTCAAACAGTAGCTTCATGCCCCTCTCCCCCTTCATTTTAAGCTACTTGGCCACAGTCACATAGCTATTAATGACAAATTTTACTACTGGGACAGAGTAATCTAATTCCTAATTTCAGTTCTTTCTACTTTAATACAACTTCAGCAAACCTCTATAGGAATCCATGTAGTACAAAATTTTTAATAGAGCATATAAGAAAATGTGCCATTTCTCAACTTATCTGTTTTCACCTTTCTATCTTACCTGTAATGCCCTTCCAATGGGAGCTGTACTGTACCCTCATCTTCCATAGCTAGCATACTTTGTTCTTCCTGGAAAGATAAACATAAAATATATAAAGTGAACCTGATGAGTCTCTTTTTTACATTGAAGAAAAAACACAGATTAATGTTTCACTATCTCATTAACCCCAGGACCTTCCACTCTGTTTGCACTCATTAATGCTAGCATAGGTCCTTTCAATGAAGGAAGCATTCACTGCTAAGAATACAAGTAATTAATGAGAGTCTCATATCACAAAGTAATTTAAATGCTAACAACAGTCTCTTTCGTGTTAATTTCCAAGCAGATTAAAAAAAAAAAATCAATCTGCCCTAACTGGTTTGCTCCGTGGTTACAGTGTTGGCCCGAGGACTGAAGGGTCATGGGTTCAATTCTTGTAAAGGGCATGTAAGGTAGATGCAGGCTCAAGGCGTTTGCAGGAGACGGCCTATCAATATGTCTCTCTCACAATGATGTTTCTCTCCCCATCTCTTCCCTTCCCTCCTATGCTCTCTAAAAATCAATGGGGGGAAAAAATCCACCATTGAGGATTAACAAATAAACAAAACAAAATCAATTTAAATTTTATAAGGACAAAAGTATGAATAATATAATCATTTTCATTGTTATAAAGTTGTTTCCAAAATATGCTATAAGAAGGGAATGAAGGATGCACTTAGAGCACTGGTTCTCAAACTTTAGTTCACATTAGAATAACTTAAAGGCCTTGTTAAAAATACATATTGCTGGACCCCACCTTCTGACTTAATAGGTCTGAAGTAGGTCCCCAAAATTTACATCTCTAATGAGTTTCCAGGGGGGCACCGACTATGCGGTTCTGAGGACCACACTTTGAGAACCATTATTGGGGAGATTGGAGAGACTTGGAAAAAGAGAGTGAAAGATATCTTCCTGTATGGACCAAAACACAGATGTGTTTTCCACTCAGGAATGCATCTCAGGCTTTTGCTTTATGCTTCAGGTTTCTTCTTATAATGACAATATCCCACCCTTCCCAAAGAGTGGAACTGCTTTATATATTTATTTCTTCAGATATAACATTTTAAAACTATATATTTGGGATAAAGATAATCTTATTACCATACTGAAATGCCCTGCTCTAGTTTTCAATAATGTTATCATCAACTTCTTTCCATACAGTGAAAAAGAAATTTACTTATCTGTAGATTATAGCTCCAGTTTAATGCATTTGTTTTCAAAGCGTCAATTAGTAATGGTCAAGTTCAGAGAACTATCTAGGGCCATTAAAAAAAATCTTAGAATTATTATCTTAAAGTCCAAAACTGGAATTTTAAGTTGTATAAAGATGAAAATCTAGGCAGCTCCCTGACCAAATGGGAACTGTAAAGAGAAAACAGGAATGACCTGGAGGCTCATTGCCTTCCCTCTTTCAGGAGCTTAGCAGTAGCTGGGCTGATTTAAATCGGCTTTCAGAAACATGTGATCTTTGGCTGATGTCATTGTTTTTGGCATGCAGGGCTGTTCTTAGCTATCTGTATGCTGGCCTTGGCCCTCAACTTGCATATTGCCTAGTCTGAAGATCCACTAGCCATATTTCTTATTACTTAAAGACTTAAAGAAACAGTGTTTGCTAGAGTCTCTTCAACTAACCCATGAAAATTAATATAATTAATATAATATAATATAATATAATATAATATAATATAATATAATAATATAATATAGGCATGTCTCATTTTAACTCTTGTGGTACTTGCTTCCACATCCAACCTGCTGACCAAGGCAGGCTCCTCTGCTGGGACGTTGGCCATGTTGCACACAGAATATCTATACCCAGGCTTATGCTGTGGAACAGTGAGAGGCCAGGGGGGTGAATGAGTTCTGCTGTCTCTCTGCTTATCAGTACCCCACCCCCCAAGCCCTATGTTACATTTATACTCTGTGGTGCCAATGATATGTGTCTGTTACCCCTTTGCATAGCAGAAATCAACTCTATTCCCTTTTTCTGTTCTTTAAGGAAAAAAATTTCTTTAAGAGCCATCATATGTTCTTCATTACTTGAGTATTATGCTTAGTCCCCTTGGCATTTGGCAGTGCTATTAGAATTAATTTATGGTAAATAGATAGTACCATTTGTTTTAAATTACACATTTAAGCATCTGAGCAGAGCAAATCTGTAGTCTAGATTGAGGCATGTCTTGCACATAGGTGAGTCACTATACATGGAACATAATATACATGACATGTTAACTTATGTGCACATCCTTGAGACCACAAACAGAGCATATATATCCTTTCAGATAGATGTGGTGTTTTTTTTTCCTATAGAAAAGGTTACCTAAATGAGCATGGATGAACATAAAGAGGAAACATTCAGTGATCCCAAATGCTATTTAAGTAAAACCAAGATACAGGCAAAATGCCATTATTTCCTTGCTTATCCACTGAAAGGTAAGCTTGGTACATATTATCTTTCCTGACCAACTCAGAATAAATCTCAAAAAGCCAGGTAGGAAGGTTTAATAAAGTAGTAAAGTTCAAAAAAGCTAAGAGAAGAACAGTGCCATCAATGTTTAAGTGACCTGGCAGCAGAACACCAAGACTCAAGATTCAATCTAACAGGAAAAAAAAAAAAAAAAAAAAAAAAAAAAAAAATTGGACCAAAGCTTTGGGAACAATTTTGTTTTTTCCTCAGATGATTTTCCACTTTTCTCTCAAATTGCTTTCAATAATTATTTTGCACTCTGTGGCTTGTTAGCATGTGTGGGCTTTATACTAGTCATAATTCTATCCAAACAAAAACTCATCACCTCTAAAGATAGCATCCCCAAGCCATGCTTATCTGAAGAGAACGTGGCAGTGCAGCCGCTGCCTTTCGTGCCAGAAGGAGGCTGGGTGGGCCCCCGTGCTCTGGATGGAGGGCCGGCTGCATCCCAGGCAGCACCGAGGAAGCCAAAAATTGAGACTTTCTGGGGAGGAGCAGTCAAATCAGGCACTGGCCGTCACGACAACGGCAACCTAGTTTATCTCAACCGTACAGTAAAAGAAAGTGAGAGCATAAAGCTGAGTATCCATCACATTTTAAGTCAGAAGTACCTTAAAGTGAGTTCTATTCAGCACTTCATCCATCAAAAATATGCTGAATCCTACCTACAACGTGGTGAAGGTCTTAACAGGATGATGATCAAAGTCTACCAAGGACATTTGAAGGGTTTTGCCAATTTGACTAGGGGAATATTCATACTGTGATTCGAATACCATATTTTTAATTAAGATACTCTAAAGCCTTCTTCAGATACCAGATAAGTGAAGGACAGTTAATGCTATAACCAGTGAAAGGCAGGAAAATTGAGGCTTAAAAAAAATCTATTCAAAAGCAGCCAAACATTTACTGAGCATGTATTATGAGATAGGCATAATCTAGCAGCTATTCATAAATCATTTAACAAATATATATTAAGCATCATCTAAATGACAGGAATGAAAAGGAAAATATAAACCCTACTCTCAGAGGATGAGAAGCGTAACCTTAAAAACTACAGGGACCAGAGAAAGTGGTATCTGAGCCCACCTTATTTGATCAGTTTGGTATTAGAAAGGAACAAACTCCAGGTAGTAAAAAGGAAGAAACTCTAGGTAGGCCAATGATAAAAGTTGTCTATAAATAAGGTTTATTTGCATGACAACCAACAACTGGAGCCAAAGGTCTGTGCTGAGTATTAGCAGAAAATAAAATAGGAGTTAAATTATGGGGTGTTTTGATAAATAGGATATTATATATAAAATAGTATTATGAATCTGAATTATATTTTGTGATAGCATAAAAAATACCATGTTACCTAACAAATGCTCTGCCTTAGTGAAATAGGTAGCCTCTGTTACTATATCCATATGTCAGGTAAAGTCTATATTTATGTAAGAGCCCTCAATTAGTCCAAAGTGCAAACAACAGCAAAGAGCCAATGTTCACAAAAATTCTTAGAGTATTACTAGTAAATAGAGAAATATTCAGCAATTTTAGAATTCATAGATTTTTAAGAAATAGAGGGGACTTCAAGTTTAACCCCTTTGTCTTATCCAAGAGAAAAACAAGGAAAACCAAAGAATTATGAATTCCTAAGTTAGTGATAGAACAGATAATGCTGCAAAATTACACATATATTATATATAAAGTGTTATATACACACATATATACAATATGTTTAATGCCATAAAATATTATATCTCTAAGAGGTATTTTTGAATACTCCCAATAGATGGAAGAGTCAACACATACACTGCCCGACTTTAATGATGAAAGCCAAAAAGAAATAAAGGGGGAAAGGAGTAATCCTCACAGAATTCATATGAATAGATAGATGGATGCAACATATGTTTTTCATCAGAATGTCTGATTGTCTCTAAATGACTTATCTATATTATTATAAAATACAAAAGTTCTGATAGAGTAACCTTGGATTTAAAAGAGTATCTTCTGGAGATACAGACTCTTGTGATTTCAGGAAGTCTTATCTCAAATTTTAGCATGCATCAGAAATACCTGGAGGTCTTTAAACAGAGTACTGACCCCTCCCCAGAGTTTTTAATAGGTCTGAGTAGCGTCCAATAATTTATCGTTCTAACAAGTTGCAGGTGTTGGTTGGGATACAGCAGAGATCCTAGGACTACTCTTTGAAAACCAACTGCTTGAGGAAGAATATGCTGGCCTCAGTCTAAGGTTCAATTAGAAATAACATTTGTCTGTGTAATAATTAAGACATGCTTCCCAAATCCACAAGCAATTCTGATCTTTCTTAGCAGTAAGACATACTCTGTGCTAGGTTTAATTGCTCTTGTTTTTAGATTGCTTTTGTATCTCGTTGGCCTTGTTCATGATCATGCTTTGTATAGATCACAGGTCTCACTAGCCCCCTCTTTTGCCTTTTTTTATAGTGTGTATGTTAGAGTGAACTTCCTATAAACCAAGAGGTGTTACTTCCATGATCACTTCCCAGAGTTGAATTTCCAGGATTTATTGAACACTAACTGCCTTCTCCCAGGAGCAAACATGCTGCTAGGGCTTTCTGCTTTTAACAGCAGCCCTTTTGTCAAATGGGTACAATGTCCTAGAGAATATTTAAGTAGCAAGGAAAGCTTGTTGGTACTTTGAGCACATTTGGACATCCAGAATTTGATTCTGCTGTCTTCCCTTTACACAGAGCAATGTGCAAAATGTCAGGGTTCCAATATTCATTTCTATCCTGATTATAATCCTTTCTTTCTAAAAACTGAAGCATATGCATATGCATATGCATGAGGTACATGAAAATTTGGAACAGAAGCTCTGCGACCTTGGACTGGCCTGTTGTAGCTATTTATTCTGCTTAACTCATTATTGAATTTTAAGGTCAGACTAATGTTTTCTCAATTCCATAAGACCAGAAGTGGGTTACTGATAGGAAAACCCTGTTGTATAAAGGTATAAGCTTGCAACTACCATCAAAAGGACAAAAGGTGAGAATACTCTACTAGTAAATTTGAGTCTCTGGGAGTTGGAAACATTTCTGCTACTTATCACCTTCCAGATCAAATGAAAGTTACTCAATTAATTTGAGTAATTGCAGAAATGCAACCTTTCTAGACATCTTGTCCATTTACCACCTCAATGCACAATCTCCTGAGTAAATGGGCCTTGGAAGACTGGCCACAGGAAGGAGTCATATCCTTCAGGAGAGTCCCCAGCCTCACAAGAGTCAAATCCTGAGATCCAGGTGACCAAGCAGAAAAGTATTACATCTTAAATCTTCTTATTTCTAAGTTAGAAAGTGAACATCTTTAAATTTCCTTTTCTTCCTCCAGTTGTCAGATAGAAAATTCTCTTTTTTTTTTTTTTTGCACTGGTCATACCTATATTTTAATGTTTGATAATGGATTATTTTATCACTGTGTTATTGGTTCTCTTGTTCCTTTCCATGTACTGAAGATCCCATGAAAGTATTATCATATTAATCTATCTGAAATTTTAAGTGTTGGTAAACCTGTCTGAAATAATGTATTGCAACTTTTTCTCATATGCATATCTGAAGGATACTACAGTAAAATTGCCTCAATAAATCTCTAATGTATTTTGTATCCTTTTGGAAAACATGAATACTATGAATTTTTTAGCAATATTTGATTGCTTCTAGAATCATTATCATCATAATCAGAAAATAGTAAACACCCATTGGAGTGCAGTGGATCTATGATGGAAAAAAGTTAGAAGTTCATTAAATAGTGTCTCTGCCTATCTGAGATTAATAAATTCCAAAATGGACACCTGGCACACATGCCTATTAATCCCATAGATATGTGGCCATGGGAGTGGCTCTGTGCAATGGAAATGGTAGATTCTAATACATTTATGATTATGATCATATTTGTTCTCTCCTACTTGACAGACATATAAAAGACAAATTTTAAAAAATTAATGATAAAAATTAAAGATAATATGTTATATAGAAATATCAGTTTTCATTTCATGAAGTTCTAGAAGGGCAAAAAATGTCCCACAGGATGGGTATGGCCTAAGGAGAATGCTGTGGAAGGATGACTAGAGGGCTGGGCTGTTTCCATCTTTTTCCTACAGAAGTAATAAAGAAAATTGACAAGGTCAAAGCAAAAAAAAAAGGTAAAATTACATTAACTACTGCTTCAGTATACTTTATATTCTCATTATCAGAAAGACTGAGTGAAAGCTCATAGGTTTTGAATTCAAAATTATCTTCTTTGGAATTTAAAGCTTCTTAGAAACTGCTTTCCACCTGAATAATTTTATTACACCAAGTATGTATAATTTAAGTCTTCACAGTTTCTTTATTCTGATGCCAATCTTATTTACATTTGATTTATACCAAATTTATGTCATACTTTTTGAAATAGTATCTGATGATGAGAGCAAGCCTTTACCTCAAGTCCAAAAGTTAGAGACTATCAAAATATCTTAAAGTATTATTTTTTTTGAATTTTTAAAATATATTTTGTTAACTTTTTTACAGAGAGAAAGAGAGAGGGATAGAGAGTCAGAAACATCGATGAGAGAGAATCATCGATCAGCTGCCTCTGACCGGAATCGAACCTGGGACCCTTGAGTCTGTAGGCCAATGCTCTATCCACTGAGCCAAACTGGTCTCAACTAAAGTATTATTTTTAAAAAATACCTAATACTTAAATAAGAATATATCAACCAGAAAAGTGAAGTAATGATACATTTATAATATGAATTTTAAATAATGTAGTTTAATTTTATATTATTAGTACTAGAAGTATGAATCTTAGTATGCTTTCTTCAATATTTGAGAAAACTGAAATATTCATATATCATCATGATCAGTTCCTAAGTGTGGTAATCCACTGTCAATGATGGGACACTATGGAATAGTGAAGAAATATCAGAGTCACATATTATGTAGCTCTATTTGTAGAAACATCTGTGCAGAAATCTCATTAGACTTTGTGACCTATCAAGCCTCACCTAATGACTGAATAAAATATAAGATACTGAAAGGTTTTCAAACACATTTCCCAAAGGCAAGAGGAATGTATCCATGGTCTGAGAAAATATACTGTAGATAAGAAAATTAATACACTTACTAACCACCTTACAGAAGAAGGAAAAGTGGAAAGAATGTACAATTGTCATCAAATATTTTCTTTCATCTTTATTTCTATTCACATGGAAATTTTGCTCCTATCTTTCATAATTTATGGGCTCAACCATTCTGGTAAATTACGTAAAGGTCACTTTTTTCACTTATACTCCCAGACTTAAGTATGAATTTTAAATACTCCATAAAACTTGAATTGTTTTAATATATGAAACAGGATAGGATAAATCAGTAGTCCATCAAAGCAAGTAAATCCAAAAAGTTTCTCAATAATAATCTTAAAATCATTTGAAAGCAAATCAAATTAATATATTTTCCCCTTAAGCGTTTAATCTATTTCAAGAATAAATCATTTTATCCTTGGATTAAAATTACCTTTTGATTAAAACTTTGTCCTTAGAAAAATATCCACAGCGATAATGTCTCTTTTTTGTATGTCACTTATTCAACCAAAAGCAATCACTGAATGACTATAAGTTGGAAATAATTAAGTATCTGTAAGTTTCTACCAATCACAGGGGAAGAATCAGAAAAATAAACTGTACAATTTTCGTGATAATGAAATATAAAGTGTTATCATGTTTCTCTACGGATTGAATTCCTCATGTAAGATATGCCCACTTGCTCTCACTGTGTTCAAATTCCAACATTATGATTTTAAACATTAATTTTCCAAACTTATTCGCCTGTGGTTGTTAATCACTAATTGTCTAAAGATAAACAATAATTTAGTTTTGCAAAGAGCTATTGTGTACAAGTGCTCCTTTTACTTTATAAGATATTTATTTTGCTATGACTTACTTCTTTTTCGGCATCTTCTAGTTTCTTTTTCTTACTCTCGGGCATTAAATCATCTAACCAGCTGAGTTCTCGTTTGGTAAACAAAAAGTCCATCAACTTTCTTACAAATACCAGAGCTAACACCTGAAATAAATAATAAAATAGTATAAAATATGGAAGAAATGGGAATGGGATATGCTTGTCTGTTTTTAGAAACAAGTCAATTTCAAATAGGACTGAGATTAAAAACGAAATTTTAAAATATATGTATATAACAGGTATTGTCTGTACTCTTGCTTCTTTTATTTCTCTTTCTTACCCTATCCTCCGTTATTCAGCTGTGGTGTTAATTACCTATTATAGAAGTCATTCAAAGAAGCTATTTTAAAAACTATAAAACATATTCCACTGTTTTCCTAAATACATATAGTTTGCTTTATTTTAAATGAACATTAAACTATCCTTATCTGTATTGAAAGTATTTTAAATTATTTAGTTATTCAAATTCGCTATATTTTGAAGCATTTAAAACTTGCCTGAAATATTTTATGAAATTTCATTTTTAAAATTCCTCAACCTTTTAAAAATTCCTCAACTTTTCAGATTTGCTAGTATAGTTTTAAAGTTAAATTTTGAAAGTTTACATTTTCCCACCCAACTTCAATTAATTCAGACAACTACTAATATTCAGAATGATAGAGACCAAACTAATATTAAGTCACTGCAATTCGTATATAATCTCAAACCCAATCTTAGTCACTAAGATTTAATGGTTAAAGTTTATACCAGGGTTACCAATAACTGTTCAGAATGACTTTATTGCTCCAATTTCAGTTCATGGGTTTCCAATAAAAGGAGAAAAATCACAGGAAGAGAAAAAAAAGTTAGAAGTTTTCATACCATCATTGGAAAGACAATAGCAGCTCTTGAAACTTTTATTATCCACAAAAGGCCAAGGCAACTCATCTGAATAATTGTGAAGAGATGGACTTTTCGAAGTGGAACATGCCTTAGATATATAAAATCTGGTTGATGTTTTGCAGGCATCCAGAAGAGCTTTATTCTATCAAAGAACTAAAAGGTAAACAGACTAATTTTAGAACAAGGAAACAGTTAATGTGGTCCAATATATGGTACATCTGGATCACTTTCAAGTTGACATTTGGGCATCTGGATAGTAGTATTATTATGCATACATTCTGAAATACTATGATATCAGTTTTATAATATCCCACATTTTCTTGAAAATATGGACCCAGGTTGTAATTTGGAAGAGTTTAAAAATATTAAAGATCATGCTAAATGTTGATACCAGAGAGAGCATAGCCTTGAGAGACAAAACACCATCATCAACCTCTTTTTCATTGTCACATCACATTATTTGCCCTTGAATGGGGCTTCCTGAACTCCCATTCTCTGTCCTTTTCTCTCATATAATAGTCCATGGCTTCAACTAAACATACTTGTTAAAGACTCCCTCACCTAGAACTCTATTTCACCTCTCTGACTCGGGAGCTCTCTTCGCATCTCCAGCTGACGAGTCAGATGTTTTGACTTCTTATTTTGACTCTGCTCTTCTGACTTTGTTGTTTTGATCTCTACAAGATTTAAGTGCTGTTTTTACAAACACAAATATCTTATCCATAAATATTTAACCAAAATTAATTATAGTTAATAAATTCTTTCCAAAGCAAATTTTGTCAACTCAATTTAATTTCTTAATCAATTTCCTATACTGCACTTTCAAACCATTTATATGTTTTATTGGATTTTATAAAAAATTATTTTTATCCAGAACAATGTTATTTCTGTTTAAATTTTACATTAAAGACAGTTACAGCTTTGGCTTGGAGGCCATTTTTATCTACAAAAGCTAATTTTCTCAATTAAAATTCTATATACTAAAATTTTAGAAGAATCTTAAATCTTTAATCATATATTATTTAGTAACAATACTGCATGCTACTTTATTTTATGTGTATTCTTTTGTTTAATATTCCTCAGGCCAAACTTTGTAGTTTTGAATGTTTCCAACAGGAAGCAATTATTTAGAATGTGGTTTTAATCACAGTCCATTTTCATGCCATTTCTACAGTAATATCTGTTATGCATTTTCAAAGGAGTACTATTAGATTATATTTCTTAGCTAATTTATAAGAAAACTGTAAGTAATTTTCATCACATATTCCAAAATTACTCTAATAAGGAACAAATGTCCATTGAGTCAAGTGTTAGGATCAAAACATCTTATTTTACCAAAATCTGTTTGCATGTGTAATAGAATTCACAAACTCAACAGAAACCCATCTTTCCTCTGTGTTCCCTTCTTATGCTATGGCATGATCTTTTCTTGGTCATCTAAACCAGAATCACATGTAGGTTAGTTCATCCACAGTTCATGTATATTTATTCATATGCATTGATAAGCTACAAAAGTGTTTAGTGAAAACCTTCTATGCAGAGTACTAAGCACTGAATTTCTTTCCTGGCCCATCTCTCTCCATACTGTCCACAAATATATCATTAGGTCTTTATTTCTACATCCTCAATATATCTTAAAATTACACGTCATTAAACAAGCAAATCAAATTTGGTACATAATGGGAGTGGGAATAGGGAAGAAGTAAATTAAAATCATCTGGCTCATAACTGAATGTTTCAGTTTCTATAGAACTCATTTTTCTCAGCCACCATTTCTCCTTTGTGAAGTTATGTCATTGCATAAGTGTACTTCAGTGTGTGGATGCTTCAATTGTTATTGTTTAAATGGCACATTTGCTTTACTTTGGACTCCTGAAGTGTTGGAATGAATATAGATGTGGTGATATATCTGAGTACAGAAACAACATTCTGAGAACACTGTGAGCTGTTTTTTTCTGCCACATTGCACAATGAGAAGTCTAGATAATTTTCTTAATAATGCTAAACAGTCATATACAATACAGGGTCCTACTACATATAGAGTAACCCATTAACATGCTCCTTGTATTGTTGGTATTCAGCACATGTTTATTACCACTTATATCATGATAAGCATGATAAATGTAATCTGAGTTTTGCATTTAGCATTTATCTTGACATAACATCAATTCCCATTTCAGAACTGAGTTAGCCACAGAATTCCAAATATGGGTTTCAATTCCCTGAGCTTCAGGCTCACTTAAGTTTTCACTAGCACTCTTTCTCAGCCGAGACCTTACTTGCTGTTTCATTTGTGCTATTTCATACTCATGCTTTTATCTTGTGCCTTTGATAATATTTTCTTCAATTTTCAAACAAAAGATGAACACTGCAAATAATTGCAAGATTTATTTAGTTTTAAATCATGAATATAAAATCTTGTGAGTGGAGTTGGGGTGGGGGGAATCTGTTGAAATCTATCAAAATTATTTTACTTTGTTTCTTAAACTTCCACTGCTATATTTTTGTGAGCCTGAGGCCTAATAATAAATACTTTGCAATTACAGATGAAATTAGTACTCGTGGAACTATTGCCAAAGGCAAATAAAAGAAAACACACACACATGAAAAAATAACAAAACAAATAAAAACTCTTTAGTACTCTTCCCTCTCTGCCTCACCAAATCAATTCTTTCACAACACACTTTCATCCATAATATTATAAATGAGAAAATTAAAACTAATTTGAGAAAAATTTAAATGCTTAACACTTTTGCACCATCTCCGTCACCCAAGTGAATGTAACCCACTATCAGGATGAACAGGCTCATCTTCCCCACTTGGGTGTCTGACGATCTTACAATGACTTCATATTGAAGTTTTGCCTCAGTTCTAACATCCAGCACTGCCCTAAGGCCTACGTGGTTTTCCTGCTCCCAAAGTCAGACCTGGGCAGCTGTTCATTCAGGAAAAGAGTTCCCATGCTGCCTGGTCCTCGGTGTCTAGAGTTTGGCTAAGACACTCCATGGTATTGTTGCCTTGAAACCATTTTATTTAGCCTAGTGGTCTGCAGTGACCTTTAACTATACTAGTCCCTCATGCAATCGCTTTCCCTAGAGACAGATGCCCACAGAGTCACAAGTAAACAAAGGTCCTCATATGACTTCCCCAAACACCCTTGTGATCAACAACCTCGCCTACTTCCCAGTACCTTTCCCTTATGTGTCCCTTAGATTCCCAGGGACTTAAACCCCACTGATTTAATTTGAATTAGCCCAGGAACCCCAAAGTACTCTAACCATAGACCGTAACAAAAGCATGTGCCCAGATTTTGTTTCCATCTCTCTTTATTCTGCCTTGACCTTCCACTCTGGCTCAAGGCCAGGTACTTTCTCCAGGACCTGTGAGCAATAAACTTAACTTTTTCAATTTCTCTTATGGTCTATTATTGAACCGAAGCTCACCCTGTGCTCCACACTTAAGTGTTAATTTGATAAATGCATAACTTTCTGTAAGGTAACGTTTCTTTTATGCCTTTGAACAGCCATGAATCAAGCCGTGTCAAAGAAAAAGCAACAAGTTATGTTTTCCTTTTAGTCAACAAAAACAAACTATACTTTACAATAAATAACCCTCAAAATTAGTCTCTTTTTTCAAGAAAATGTGCTTTAGATCAATCAGTAGTTTAGATTAACCAATACTCCTTTAAAGAATTAATAATGTTAAGTTAGAAAATAAGAGCATTCAAAGGCAAATTTATATAAAAATCTATATTAGTTTTCTAATGCTACTGTAACAAATTACCACAACTCAGCAATTTAAAGCAATACAAATTAATTATCCCACTAGAGCACATGTGTCAAACACAAGGCCCGCGGGCCAAATCCGTCCTGCCAGGCCTTGCAATGTGGCCCGCACCACGCTGTCATCACTGCACTCCGCTGTGTTTCCATCACAATGACAGTTTATGACTGTTCAGTAAACCATTCGGCCCGCGATTTAGGCTGGATTTTAGATTTTGGCCCCTTCTCTGATTGAGTTCGACACCCCTACACTAGAGGCCCCGTGCATGGGTATCCATGCATGGGTAGGGTCCTTAGGTCTGGCTAGTGATCAGGGCTGATTGGGGCCTCTGGCTGTGCCTGGGGCCTTTCTTCATTCTGTGCCACCCATGGTGGTCAGCACATATCATAGAGAGTGATCAAACTCCTAGTCTCCCGGTTGAACACCCAAGGGGACACTTTGCATATTAGCCTTTTATATATACTGTATATACTAGTGGCCCAGTGCATGAAATTCATGCAGGAAGCAGGGCGGGGGGCGCGGGGGGGGGGGGGGGGGGGAGAGTTCCTTCAGCCCAGCCTGCACCCTTTCCAATCAGGGTCCCCTTGGGGGATGTCTAACTGCCAATAATCTGGGACTGCTGGCTCCTAAATGCTTACCTGCCTCCCTGCCTGATTGCCTCTAACTGCCTCTGCCTGCCTGCCTGATTGCCCCTAACCCTTCTGCCTGCCTGCTTAATTGCCCCTAAACTCTCTGCCTGCCTGCCTAATTACCCCTAACTGCTTTGCTTGCCTTCCTAATTGCCCCCAATGATCCCCCCCCCTCGCCTGATCTCACCCCCAACTGCCCTCCCCTGCCAGCCTGATCTTGCCCCCAACAGCTCTTCCCTGCTGGTCTGATTGTCCCTAACTTCCCTCCCTGCTGGCCTGATCTTGACCCAAACTGCCCTCCTCTGCCAGCCTGATCTCGCCCCCAACTGCCTTAAAACCCCTCCTCAGCCCCCACCTTGGGAGGGGTTATGATTGTCAAAAGCTCCACCTCCTAGGCAGCCATTGGATCCTCACAGTTCACCCATATTTGGTTCTGATTGGTCGGTTTCTATGCCAGTCAGCATCTCTGGGCCTATTTCCAGGCCTGATCATAGAGGTGGGGCTGATCAGCAGCCCCTGAGGAGGCCCGGAGACAAAGAAAGAGGCAAGGGCTGATCAACAGCTGCCACAGAGGCTACAGACCAGACCCTGCTTCTCTCTCCAGGCCTTTCTTCAGGCCTGATCTGCATCCCCCTCCAGCAACCCAGCACTGACTGCAGGACTGACTCTGGTGTTTGGTCAAGCCTTCTGTCATTACAGCCACTGCCTTTATATATATATATATATATATACACACACACACACACACACACACACACACACACACACACACATATATATATATATATAAATTGTTTTGGAGGCCAATATAAAGTGCTGGCTACACAAGCTCCCTACGAAGGCTGTGAGGAAGGAACCCTCCTTGCTCTTCCAGCTTCTGGTGATTTCTGATGTTCCTTGGTTATGGAAGCAAAACTCTAATCTCTGTCTCTATCTTCATGTAGCCTTATTTCCCGTGTCTCTCTTCTTGTTATAAAGAACCCAGTGATTGGATTTAGAGTTCACCCTAAATTCAGGATGAACTCATCTTGAGAACTATAACTAATTATATCTGCAAAGACTCTATTTCCAAGTAAGGTCACATTTTGAGATTCCAGGTGGAAAAAAATTCTAGGGAACACTATTCAACCACTACATAACATAATCAGGAACAATTTGCCAAGGGTCTCTATAAAGATTTAGAAAAGAATCGTGTGCTTTTAACATGAATCCACAAATTATTTAGTATTTTTTTCTCTAAGAGATAAAGTCTAGCCCTAGCCGATTTGGCTTTCATACCAAAGAGTCCTGGGTTCGATTCCAGTCAAAGGCAAGCACCTCAGTTGCAATCTCCTCCCTGGCCTGGGACCTGATGGAGGCTCATGCAGGAGGCAACCAATCAATGTGTTTTTTTCACATCGATGTTTCTCTCTGTCTTTCTCTCTCTCTTTCACTCTTTCTAAAAATCAATGGAGCCAAAACTGGTTTGGCTGAGTGGATAGAGCATCAGCCTGTGGACTGAAAGGTCCCAGGTTCGATTCTGGTACAAGTCAAGGGCTTGTACCTTAGTTTTGTGTACATATCTAGTAGGGGGTGTACAAAAGGCAGCTGATCGATGATTCTCTCTCATCAATGTTTCTAACTGTCTATACCTCTCTCTTCCTCTCTGTAAAAAATCAATAAAATATATATTTTAAATAAAAAAAATAAAAATCAATGGAAAAAATCCTCATGAAGATTTAAAATATAAACAAAAACAAACAAACAAACCAAAATAAAGAGATGAAGTCTAATTTCCTTTCTCTTATGTACCAACTGGCCATAGTGATTTGCTTTTAACAAATAGTAAAAAGTAGAAGTGACCCAGGGCAACTTTGGAGACTAAGTTAATAGGCACAGTGACTTTTGCTCATCCTTTCATAGCTCACTCCAATGGAAGTGAACTTCCATGTCAAGAGGACACTTGAGTGACCTGTGGAGAGACTCATGAGGCAAACAGGGGCTTCCTCTCACTATTCATGATTCATAAAGACTGTGAGATAAATGTTTTTGTTATGTATTCTATTGTTATACAGCAATAGAAAACTAACCCAACTATATTTATTTCTCTAACACGTCTTTAAACAATTAATAAGCCTTTCCCTATACTTTGAAACTACCTTACTTTATAACTTTATTTTAACTTTAATATTTCTATAAATATAATAATAGAAAAACAAACATAAAAGAAAAAAATCACCCAGGACCTCAATATTTTAACAAATTTGTTTTTTGTTAATCCTCACCCGAGGATATTTATTTATTTATTTATTTATTTATTTATTTATTTAGAGAGAATGGAAGGAAGGGGGAAAGACAGAGAGAGAGAGAGAAAAACAAAACAAAACACCAGTGTGAGACAGACACCTTGATTGGTTGCCTCCTGCACACATCTCAACCAGGTCCGGGGATCTCTCCTATAATCAAGGTACATGCTCTTGACTAGAATCAAACCTGGGACCCTTAAGTCTTCAGGCAGATGCTCTATTCACTAAGCCAAACTGGCTGGGTAATAAATTATTTTTATTTCTTTGTCTTCCTTTTTAATCTGACCAATATCATAGCTTTATAAACCAATGGTAGATAAAATTTATTTTCCTACTTTTTCACTTTGCATTGTGCCATAAGCATTTCTACCATGTTACTTTTATTATCATCATAATTACCTCCTTTCAATTAATATACCATAGATTATATAATCATTTACTAATGTTGGAAATTGGGATTGTTTCTGATATCTTAAAAGTGTGTGTAACATATTTTTGTGCATAGAGTTTTTTTCTAGCCATATATATATATATATATATATATATATATATCCATAATAATGAAGACAGTATCAAAGATTAAAAGTATTTGTATATATTTTGAAATGTACTATGATTAGTTACTGTGAAATCTAAACATTTCAATTTTAATATACTTAAGGTAAACAAAAGTACCCTAGGATTATGAACCTAAGATGCCTATGAGGATCTTTTTTAATTTTTAGAAATATGACTATTTTTTAAATTAATTTTAATTTAAAACCTGTTCCTAAGATGATGTCCTTTTCTTAACAATCACAAGACTTAGCATCAATAGACCTTGCGGTAACTCATCATAGATGTGCCTTTATTGCTGTAAATAATTTACCTGGATTCCCTTTAGAGATGAAGCACCCATATAAAGAAACACTCCATACAGCACTGGCATAGGGATAAACTGTGAAAAAACAATTGGAGAAAAGGCACAATTTATTTTCAACAACTTATTTGGATTAAAGGCGAAGAATGAAGCTAATACTTAGATGTTGTTTCTACATTATACCAGATGTTTGTATAATTGTGGATTGTTCAATTTTTCTCTTTCTTTAAATACTCGGCATCATTCTAAATCTATAGTTATTTATATGACATACACATCAATTCTTGCAAATATAATATACTTATGAAATTATTAAATACACGTAAATTTATGTAAATATTTCAACTAGAATTTATAAATTATAGACAACTTAGATGAGTTACAATAAAATACAAATAACACAGCTTAGAAATATCTATCAGAATTATGACATAATAATTACTCTTTAATGCTTTCATATTATTAGTTTTATGGAACATATACATCTGCACCTGTGGCCATGCCCATAACATTGCTTACTTCTGTACCTTTATCTTATACTAGGTAATGTTAATTGCAAGTATAGCTTTCCATTGACAAAAAAAAAAAGCCTAATTTTGTCTAGGCCTGTAGTAAATTCAGATCACAAGTCAAGAAATAATGAGGTACTCTTTCTCACAACTTTGTCACCATTTCAAAATTATAGTAATAAGTTACACATCAAATTTTACTTTACAAGACTAAATTTTTATTTAAGGATTTTAAAATACAGCACACAATTTCCCTCATTAAGTTAAAAAGTTATATAAACATGGTAAAGAAATTAATTACTTTCATCACTTGCCATAAAACATTTGCAAATTGATAATTTATATTCAAATGAAATCTCTTAAACAATAATAAGTATGTTCTGCCTTCTCTTAAATTCAGAAGGGCAGATTTTATTACCTTCAGAATACTGGTCATAAAGACTGATGAACCCATGAGAACAAAAATCATAAGCCCAGTAACTCTTTGCTCCCGAATGCCAAGAAATTTGGGTTGTTCTCCTGGAGCTGAACATTCCGATTCCAGTTTTAGGCTGTTGACATGAGTGATGGAGAGGACAGTGGCAGCCACAAACCATGGCAGGCCCATGATGGAGCACACACCAAGCATGACAGCCACCATTAATAGGTCCAGATGGTATCCACAGCCTTTCTGTTTAAAAAAAAAAAAAAAAAAAAAAAGAGAGAGAGAGAAAGAGAGAGAAGGTGTGTGTGTGGGGGGAAACTTAGTATAAAGACAAATAACACAACCACCATGGAACATAAGAATATAAAGAAGATGTGGTCTTGAGTCTTATACAACTGTTTCTAAAATGCAAAATAAAGATAAAAAGGTAACAGTGTCAAGATATGTAATTCACTTAAATAAATATTGCAGGTATTCCTATTGCAATTATGATTATAGTGTCTTCTACATACTTTGATAGGTTCAGTGTATTTCTAGGTTAATGTTAACATTAGTTTCTATTCTATTTCTATTGGGTAAGTAATGTCATTATCAAAAACAGTCACTTCCATAGTTTCCTTAAATGGGCAAGTTCATTTGCAATTAGTATTATTCACAATTTATTATTATTTAATCATACATAAAGATATTAAGTACCGCCGAAATCGGTTTGGCTCAGTGGTAGAGCGTCAGTCTGCGGACTGAAAAGTCCCAGGTTGCGGGCACATCCCCGGTAGGGGGTGTGCAAGAGGCAGCTGGTCGATGTTTCTCTCTCATCGATGTTTCTAGCTCTCTATCTCTCTCCCTTTCTCTCTGTAAGAAAATCAATAATTAATATATATATATAAAGTACCAACTTTCTATCAAGTATCAGGCTGAGAAAACAAAGTAGGGACCGTGACAACAGGATGAAGAATGACCTGATTGTGACTAGAGGACACTTTCTGACAATATCCAACTATCCTCTCATATGAGATCTCCTAAAGATAAATTATCACATGATCTCACTGATATGTGGAATCTAATGAACAAAATAAACTGGTGAAAAAAATATATTCAGAGACATAGAAGCATGGAACAGACTGACAAATCTCAGAGGGAAGGCAGGAGGTGGGTGGGTGGGTGGTGGGAAGAGATTAACCGAAGAAATTATATGCATATATGCATAACCCATGGACACAGAATAGGGTGGTGGAGGCCTGGGGCAGGGGATGGGAGAGGGCTAGAAGGAGTCAATGGGGGAAAAGGGAGGGCATATGTAATACTTTCAACAATAAAGTTACTTTTTAAAAAATAAATTATTCTAAAATACTCAATTTCCCATTGCCTTCTTTTGTTTCAACGGGTGACTTTCCTTAGAAAAATAATATCATGTAACCTAAGATTCCTTATACATATATATGTACATATACATATGTGTGTGCGTGTATACACACACACACACACACACACACACACACAGTCAGTTCCATTTGTTTTAGTTTCAGCAACTTAAAATCATAGTTTTTGTGTTTTCTATCTTTTCTGTGATCCTATTTCACTATCACTGATCTCCAGGTACTGCAAATGTAAGTGCTTTTTTGGACCAATCAGGAAATGTGAAAAAGGAAAAGAGAATGCAAGGGGCATGGGAAACGGGGAATTGATGACTGCTCTCTAAAGAAATTGAAAATGGGGAAGAGCCGCGTTAGCCTCTCCCTCTCCCTCTCTCTCTCCCTTGGGAAGGTGACAGGGCAAAGTCTCAGAAGTAGCAAAGGGCGTGGCCTAGTTCATATTCCAGCTCTCAATGAGGGGTGTGTGTGTGTGTGTGTGTGTGTGTGTGTGTGTGTGTGTAATAAAGTGGTTAAGAGTTTAGTTTCTGGAGACAAGTGGCCTGGAATCAAATGCTGGCCCAGCCAATGACCTTGATCCACTGTTTCCCTATCTGAAAAGTGGTAATGATGATACAGGAGCCACCAAATTGGGTTGTTGGGAGAAATATATCATTTAATTTTGCAAATCATTTAGAGCCATAATGGGTATATAGTACACAGCCATCAAACATTAGAGACCACTACATTCTAGCAGTTGAACAATGAATTTCTCTTTTGAACTCATTTGTTTTAAGGCTCCTCCATAAAAGTATGTTTCCTAAGGATAGGTAACATAATTTCTCAGTGTTTCCTACGGTTTTCAGCACAGTCATTGGCATACGATAAGCAATCATTAAGTTGACTTTTTAAAAAGTAAATATGCATCATTGAAACATCTTTTGGAATCCAGATTAATATGTATAATTTTAAATATAGCTGTTAAATTTGTTGTCATGAGCACGAGCAGACATTACCAATTCTAAAAGAATAATTTAGGCTTTTTTATTTTACAGGCAGTTTTACCAAACTGTAAGCAGTTTACAGTTAATATGAAAGCTCATATAGCCTGGAGTAAAACACATGGATTATTTGTTGCATGTTCGTCACGGTCATATTTCCTTTCAGCTATTTTGCTTTGTTCATAGTTTTATTGAGAAAAACACCATTTAAGTCCATTGTACTTCCTTTTTGCCTATCCCTGCCAAATTGTAAAAGTGCAGAAGACAAGGAGACAATGGGAGACATCCACACAATGACCTCCTCCTTGTCCACTGTCAGTGGCACTCTTCCTTGGGTCAGCTGAGCAGGGCAAGGCTCCAGTTCACCACCCTGCCTACATCCAGTTTCCCTGTGAAGAAGTTGATAGAAATTTTTCTTGGCAAGCAATGCAGGAAAGATCTTCATTATTAGGAGAGTGGGCTGAGAAACACCCTAATATCCACTTAAACAAAAAGGCATAGGAATGAAGAAGCTTTACTGGTGTCATAGTTTGTTCCTTAGGTCCTTTTGCTGAACATTTTGGAAGATGTCGATGCATGGACTAAAACTTAAATTTGGGCCGAAACCAGTTTGGCTCAGTGGTAGAGCGTCAGTCTGAGGACTGAAAGGTCCCGGGTTTGATTCTGGTCAGGGGCATGTACCTTGGTTGCGGGCATATCCCCGGTGGGGGGTGTGCAAGAGGCAACTGGTCGATGTTTCTCTCTCATCGATGTTTCTAGCTCTCTATCTCTCTCCCTTCCTCTCTGTAAAAAATCAATAAAATATATTAAAAAAAAAAAACACTCAAATTTGGGTCCCTTGAAAGGACAATATCTTAGCCAGTTAGAGGACTGCTTTCTTCTAGGGACTCAGGAGAGAGGAGCAAGAATAGTGAAGGCCTTGCTCAAGCCCAGCCTCTGGGGGAGTACAGTGGGAATGATGGCCCCTGGTGCTGTGTGGAGCTGTAGTACTGCTGAGAGAGAATGGAAGCTCGCTAGTGGTGGGGATAAACTTCAGAGGGCAGAGGACATGGGGCCTTGAGCCTGTACACCCTGGATTTTCCCAGGACCCATGTTGACTATGGCTTAATAATATGAGAAAGGACTTCTTCATGATAGTGATTTCCTATACCTTTTGTAAAGTGTTTTTAAAATAATGTAAACATGTTCTCGCTTGCAGGAAGCAGAAAAAAAATAATGCTCTCCGAGGAAATAATTTCTTTTTAAATTTAAAAAGCTAGCTTTGTAAAGTATAAGTATATAATAAAAACTAAAATACAGCTTCCCCTGGTCATGCTGTACAACAATGGCAGCATCTTAATGTGAATGGAAAAAATAAAGCAGTTTTGGCACTTTCACTCATTCATCGTCATTCTCCTCCTCTTTCATTTAATGAGTCTTTAAAAGCTTCGTCTTTATAACCAAAGTATTAGCTGATAGGCATGCCAGCTTAAGGGAAGTATCCCTTTGTCAGAGAAGGAACTCTGCACCTTCAAACATATTTCTGTAGAATTTTTTTTTCTGAAATAAAGACAGAACCAGAGCTTTTATTCTCACATTCACCCATGAATCATGGGAAATGGACATATGGAAGGGAAAGGGAGCATAGCAACAGGTGATGCTACAGCAGACCCCACTAAAACCAGCATGCAGCAAGACAAGAGGCCAGCCAAGAGGACCATCTGATACCCAGATGCCACTGCTGAAAAAATTCATTTCAAAGCTTGGCAGCAATTTCCTGCATCTGTCAAGTTAACCACTTAAAAGACTATAGATTGACATGAAGAACCAGGCTGACAAAGAGGGCAAAAAAGAACATATCAAATGCCATAATCATCAAGAGAATGTGGTGCCAAATGAATGCTGCAAATGCATTCATTTACTCAAGTGATCTGGGATTGTATTGCTGTTTATTAAAAATGATGTCAAAAGAAGCCTGAACTGTCTACAGAAACATGTAGAAAAGCCCACAGTTGTACCTGAACAGAAACTTTCTTTTCTGTAAAATAATATCTCTCCACTTTTAGAAAATACTTTTTTTAATTGAACATGTGTAATGCTTTTCAAAGAGATTCATTTAATCTATGCCTATCCCATTTCTCTTGGAAAGGTATGAACAAGCAAAAAATGCTAGATAGAGTATGGATTTACATCTATATACATAGTGTAGAGGATAATTTGCATTCTCAAATGTTTATACTTACAGCTTTTAAATCTTTTCATTAAAGTATAGTTGACATACAATATTATATTATTTTCGGGTGCACAACATAGTGATTTGACATTTATCTATCTTCCGATGTGATCACCATGATCAACCCAAAGGTCATGATTCACAGTGAGTTGGAGTTTGGCTAATTTTGAGCTTCTTCATTCTCAGGGAAGAGTAAATTACTGTGCCAGTGAGTTGGACTTAGCCTCTATAGGTCAACATGTCATTCCTGTGTAATGTAGCAACACTCACAAAATAATAAAAACCATTTTTAGTGGCATGAAAAGTTCTTCTAGAAGAAAATCAACTACTAGTTTTGGTAACAGAAATAAGGAAAATGTGAAAAGACCTCCACTATAAGTCTGGGAGAGAAAAGGAATGAAAAGCTGAATTCCAAGGTGACTTGGATATATGGTATTGACTTAGATACATTTAGACACATGTTGTGGAATCCATCAGGTGCTTGAAACAGAAACCACAAAACATACTTCATTGAACTATTTCTGGGAATGCTCCACTCAAGGCAAAAATGGGCTTTCAAGTGAGGAAAAAAATAAGTAAACGCTGAAAATGTGGTTATCTTGTGGTCTGGGGATATACCTAAGAAACACATGTCTTTCTGTGACAATGTGGCTCACGTCAAAGCCAGGGGATAGTGCAAACATT